CGCGTGCCCATGGTGATTGGCACAACTTCGTCCGTACTCTTAGCCGAGGACGTCTCCGACGTTGCGCAGTGGCCGGGGAGAGACACGTTGCGTGGCGCTTGGATGGCTGCCCAGACTCACCGCGGCAGCATACGATGAGGGCTTTTGTCCCGCCTCCACCCTCTGCTCCTGGACATTGCTGGCGATGCATATATATATATATATATATATATATATATATATATAGATGTATATATGTATATATGTATACATACATATATATATACATATGCATATATACTGATGCCATGAGTGTGGAGAAACATTGCGCACAACCCATGCACGGCTTGAACATCGCGCGCGAAAGCACGGCTGTGCTGCCGATGCGGCATTATTTTCTGCAGCGACAGGCTACTGCCGCGCCTGTGATTCTGACTCTCGCATGAGAACATCGCAACAGTGGCTGTGTATCCCAACTTCGCATGCTGATGCCACCGATGCCGCAAGATGCCGCAAGAGCTCGACGAGGAATTTGAGGATCGACGCGCACAGGGGGCAACGACACTTTCTTCTCTGGGCCATTCTGAAGACCAGGCATTATATCCACCAGTTTGCTGTCCCAATCATCGCCGAGGTTTTCGTGACCGCGACGCCGACGAACCTCATTCCCCACGAGGACAGGTACTCCTAGAAACTCCAGGCCTTCTCATCCGCGTCACCAGCTCACACCTGACTCCGAGGAACACGAGCTTCCGCGCAGACCACGCCCTCGGGAACTGGACACACGGGAGTTTGAAATGAACGACGTTATTTTGAATGGTGTTCGCAGTGTCCTGGCCCTGTATCTTTTAGCGAGGCGATAATTTGCCCTACTGAGCGGTTTCTCTGACACTCTGGCCTTGCACCATATGTAGGGCAATGCAGGTTTCAGATGAGTTGGACGTACGCAGGCCAACTTCGTGAACCAGCTGATGCGTTTTCTTGTTGTGCTTTACCATGACTCGAAAAATATACAACACCGCTCCATGTGATTATTACCTTCACGAAACGGCCACATGACGGTTGTCATTTTGTCATTTTGTGTCACACGACCACTCATTTCTGCTTGCGGTATCGGTGGAGTCCCTACCGATCTGTTGGTTGACCGAGTTTGTGCGAACTGGGAGCGCGTAGCGGGTTCAGGTTTCTGATGCTGCGAGTGGTGGACGGCAGCCTTGTGAACCACCAGTCCTGGGAGAGTGCTGCCTCGAGAGGGGCCGAGCCCGGGATGCCAGTCGACGTGGACGGCGGCCTTTTTGAGCTGCCGCTGGGCGCCGCCGCGGCAGGGCCCCCATCGAGGTCGTTGGAGGGCTGTTCGGCGGGCAGCGTTGGCCCCCCTTGGAGGAGCAGCGGGGACCGCCCCATGGGCCCATCGTCTCCCAGGGGCGCTGTGGCGACGTGTCGCGCTTTCGTCGTCCGTCGCTTCTTCTACTATGATGTGATGGTGAGGAAGGGGTGTGCGACGGCGACGGCGACGACGGTAGGGCGCGGCCGCGGCGGCGCGGCGGCGGCCGCGGGCAGCAGTAGTCGAGAGACCGCGGGAGTTTCCCTTGTGGCGCGAGCGCAGCAGCAGCAGCAACAGGAGGAGGAGGAGGAGGAGGAGGAGGAGGAGGAGGAGGAGAAGGAGGAGGAGGAGGAGGAGGAGGAGGAGGAGGAGGAGGAGGAGGAGGAGGAGGAGGAGGAGGGGGAGGAGGAGGAGGAGGAGGGGGAGGAGGAGGAGGAGAGGGAGGAGGAGGCGGAGGAGGAGGCGGCGCCGCCCCCCACGCCCACGGCAGCCGAACCGCACGCCAATCGCGAGAGATGGGCCGAGGGCGGCGAGCGCAGGGGCGGGGGCGCGGGAAGGCCAGCGTGGGGGAGCGGGGCGAGAGTTAGGTCGGGCATGTCGTCCTCCAGCAGATAATCAAAGATATAGTCGACAGACTAACTATCACGAAACATCGTCATCCTACTATTTTTACTGCTCTTGAATATTCCTCCTGTGGAGGGACATGCCCCGACTTCAGGCGAGAGACGCGGCGCTGCTTCTGCATCCCCTGGCGCCCGCCGGTGCGATTTCTGCAGTGCGCGGACCCAGAGCTCCCGACCCCTTCACTGTGGGGCAGGCATTCGTCCCAGGTCGGATTCTGATGCCACGGAGACCCGATGACGGGCCCCCGAAGCCGAAATCGAGGGAGAACGCCTGGATTGAAACAATCGATCCGTCGGAGAACTTGGTCCCCGGTCGCCTTTACGCGGAACCTGCCGCCGACGGGCTGCTTGCACATCATCCTGACGTACCAGGTGGATAGGAAGCAGCAGATGGCGAAGGAGAAGGCGATGGCCGAGGCCACGAACCCCGCCTGTGCCTCGAGATTCCCACCCCAGGCAAAACTTCAAAGGTGCCTTGAGATGGCGCCTGCCGTCTTCCCCAAGGACAGCTCAAGCACCTCCTCCGCCTCTGAACCCTTCTGCTTCACCATCGTTACCCTCCTCCTCCTCCTCCTCCTCCTCCTCCTGCTACTGTTACTCCCGTGAAGATGGAAGGAGAAACGGTTGCGGAAGCACAAAAAACTGCTGGAGGTGGGCGCGGACTTCTTGGATCGGCGCCAAAACGCCCCGCCCCCCACTGGCGCGCACGGCGCGCAAGGGGGCGGCGCACGAGAGGCACCGCCAGCAGCACCCAGGCGGAGGTGCGAGACATCCGCGCGGAGCTCGGACAGCAATGAAGGGGCCCCAGGACACACAAATAAATACACACAAATAAGAAGATTCCCCATACTTTCCCATGTTTCTTGGGTTTCTGTCTCCCCCCCCACTTCCCATATTTCTGCAGATTTTCCTGGGAGTCGACGATCAATTGTGTCTGTGTGTTTCTTTGCCTCCTGAAACAAGTGGCACGCGTGCCCTGGCTCTTGCACCAAGGAGCTGCGAGGGGCAGGAGGCTTTCGCCTTCTCCCTCCAGGAGGTTACTTTTCGTGGCCGTGGGAGGGAGGACGAGCGACGAACGACCGAACGACGACGACGAACGACAATGAAGAGGTCCAAGCTCTAAAGCACAGCTGTGCAAGAGAATGAAACCGTTATGCCTTACGTTTTTCTTCGACATACTTCACACTTTTACTCGTCTTGCTCCTCCTCGCGCAGCAACCCCTGAGAGAGGGGGGGGGCAGGAGGTGCAGGAGACCTCTGGCGGGTGGATGCGCACCGGCCAATCCCCAGACATCCGACGACGTGACGTTTCCAACGCGCGACCCCAGAGGTCCCGACCCCTTCCACGGGGGTAGCTTCGCTCTGGATCCAGATTTTCATGTCCAGAGAGCCCGAAAGCGCCCCCCGAGGGCCGAAATCGATTAAACAGAAGAAGACACGCGGCTGTGAAAAATACATCGCCGGAGAGCTGGGTCCTCGAGCCTCGATCCTCCCTCCTCGAACCCCGATCGCCGATCGGAAGAGCAGCGATCGGAATGCGCTCACTATACACCTCCACCGATCAAGGACAGGCCGACCCTGGGCATGTGATCGGTTTGCTGGTGAAGCGTACATATATAAATTGTTATGTGTGTATATATAAATATATATATATATACATGTACCACTGCTCCCTGGACCTCTCCCAGAGCGCGTTCTGACCAGGACTTCGAGGCGCATTCAGCCATGCCGACAAGTGAGGGTCAGTGGTATCGGTACCAAGACTGTTCCTCCTTTTTTAGTTTTTATTTTTTTTTGACTGTTTCTCCTTTGATGTGCACCGGTCCTGGGCCCAGGATGGGCCTGTGCAAGACTGGTGCAGGCGTGTGGTTGGCGTCCTCCTCCTCCTCCTCCTCCTCCTTCCACTCCTCCTCCTCCTCCTCCTCCTCTTCCTCCTCCTCCTCCTCCTCCTCCTCCTTCCACTCCTCCTCCTCCTCCTCCTCCTCCTCCTCCTCCTCCTCCTCCTCCTCCCCCTCCTCCTCCTCCTCCTCCCTGGGTGGGGAGATCGGGCAGGGCGAGCGACCACCGGGCGCACGGCCTCGCAGCCTTCGCCCGTCTCCTCGTCCGGGCCGCTGGGGCACGACCAGTCGTACGGGCACGCGACGCCCGGGCGCGCCGAAGCGGGGCAGGAAAAGGGAGAGAGGAGGATACGTCCCCCTTCGCTTTCGGCCTTTCCTGGTCCTCCTGGGGAATCCTCGTTGTCACCGCTGGATTCGCTTCGAAATTCTGGTCAGAACGCACCCCAAGAGAGGTCCGGGGACAACACGTAGCCCATGAGCCTGTTTTCCACCACCACCACCACCAGAAGTTGGAGGGGGAGGAGGAGGAGGAGGAGGATGAGGAGGACGAGGAGGAGAACGAGGAGGAGGACCCCCCCCTCCTCCAACTTATGGTGGTGGTGGTGGTGGAAAACACGCCCGTCAGGGGATGCCCAGATCTCCGACGATCTGTGTCTTGTCCGCCCTGGCGCTCTTCCTCGACATCGGCCTGATGGGGCCTGCTGTCGGGCCCCGGGGGGATCAAGCACGGACCAGGGACAGTGGACTATACCCGTGGGGAAAGATGTCGGGAGCTCCGTTGTCGCGGATTGAGAACATCAAATTGAAGGATATCTGGGAAGAGGGGGGCTAGCGGATCATGGCCCGAGGCACGTACGCGGACGAGGGGGGCCACGGAACGCACTGATAGAAGCATCGGGCGTATGCCAACATGGACTGGGGATCCGCGGATCTGTCGCGTGGGCTCCAGGTCCACGGACCAGGGCCAAGGAAAGCACACGTGAAACATGAGGCTAATGCACGGAGCGCGCTGCTTCTTTCCGGAAGGGGGACCCGTGGCGAATCCACGCGCCAGCATCCGCGTTTGCGCTTTCTCAAAAGAGGGGGCCATGAGATCTTGAAGATTTCATGGCCCCCGAGCCATGCTATCCTGCCCATCTAGTCCCTCCGCCCTCTTGGACGCCCCCGGAGATCCACGACTTGCAGGGGAGCGAGCTTGGCTCGAACGAGTCCTGCGTGAAATCTGGGGGCGCGTTTGCGTTGCACAAGTTGGTGTTGCCGGTCAGGCAGTCGACGTCGCGGGTGGCTTCACCCTCGCCGCACGTCGTGCTGCAGACGGACCACTCTGTCCTCGGGAAGGCGCTTTTGCCCAAGCCAATCCTGGGCCGCGTATCGGTGTACCCAAGAGCGGAAGAGATACCGCTACCGCTACCCTTCCCTGGTCGTCGCGGTTGGATTCGCCCTGGAGTTCTGGTGGAGAGGTCCAGAAAGTAGCGGTATTGGTAAACTGCTGTTCTTCTACGGTGGGGAACGTCTGCTTAGTGTGTCGCGGCGGCGGCCCCCGCGACGCGCTATGCCCTGCGATCGCGCAACGTGTCGCTGCGCTCCGCGGTGCGGGAGGCCAGGAAGAGCTCGGGACGCTGACGCTTGGACATCGGGCTGTGGATGGCGTGTCGCGCCGAAGCGCGGTGGGCCAGAACGGGCGGCGCGACACGCTGAGCACGCTTCTGCGGCAGCTCATGGGAGCTCCCCATATCAGATCGCTGGCCAGACGCTCGTCGACGCAAGCAACTTCAAAAGACGGAATCGCACGGGTAGTTCCACGAAGCTCCCATGACCTGCTGCCGAAGCACGCGCTCCTGACCGTAACCGGCTTCTCCCTACTTGGCGCGCAGCGCACACGGGGTGCAGGGGGAGGGGGGGCTTCTTAGCAGGAGGCCGGTTCTCATAAGGCGCAGGGGTGCTTCTCAGAGGCCTTCCCCCCTCCTACTAGAGGCCACCTAGATGGGGTCCGAGCAGATGGGGTCGGAGGATCGCGCCGCATCGCCGATGCGTCGCCGACGTCGGCGACGCATTGGCGACGTCGGCGTGGACAAAGTCGGTCTCCGCATCGAGCCGCATCGCCGATGCATCAGCGATGCGGCGCGATCCTCCGACCCCATCTACTCCAACCTCACCTGTCGGCTACACGCAAGGGTGACCCCTGGTGAGAGTGACCTTTGGTGCGCGGCTTCTTCGGGGCCACGGGGGTACCAAACACAGGCGCGCAACCCAGACCCCCGACGTAATGATTTTTTCATTACGTCGACCCCCAGAGGTCCCGACCCTTTCCCCATGACCGGCTTTGCATCCTGAGTCGTTTTTTGACGCTCCCGAGGCCCGGTGAGGGCCGCCAGAGGCCGAAAACTAGGAAAAACCTCCCGTCATGATTTTTTCATTACTCGAGGGGGTCTGGGAAGACGCCAATGGCTCTCGCATCGCGTTCGGCGACCGAGGGCCCCCAGTGGGCCCGCCCGAAAAAAGGTCACTCTGACGCCTGGTCGACCCTGGGAGGCCGACGGCCGGGCCGCGGAAAGAGAAGGATCGCTGAATTGAAGGGGCCCCAGGACACACAAATAAATGCACACAAATAAAATTATTCCCCATATTTTCCCATATTTCCTGGGTTTCTGTCTTCCCGCCCACTTCCCATATTTTCCCATATTTTCTGGGGAGTCGAGGATGAATTGTGTCTGTGTGTTTTTTCCCCTCCTGATAAATGAGGAACGAAGCCCCTTCTTGGCCCTGCAAGCGCCTCCGTGCCCCAGTGGGGCAAAGAGGAACAGCACTGGAGGAACCTAAGGAACGTCGAGTCCCTTCCGAACCCAAACTGTTCCTCACTTCCACGTCTTGACTGCAGACCCGCTCACCCTCTCCGCGTGGCCGTCCTATCCTGGCAACCCAACGCGCCACGGGCACGCTCGCGAGGACGGTCACGGGCGTCCCGGCGACGACCGCGGCCGTCTGGAGGCCCGCCGGCACCGCGACGCCGGCCTCCTGCAGAGATCGGGTGGGCCCTCCTCCTCCCCGGCCCGCCTCGTCGGACTCCTCCCGCGCCCCGCTCCCCCTCCTCCTTCTGCCTCCTCTTCGGACTCCTCCCACTCGCGATCCCCGTTGTCGTTCTCCTCCTCCACCTTAGTCAGCCTCCTCCTCCCCTCCCTCCCTCCTTCCTCCACTCATCGTCCTCCGTCTGCTCCTCCTCCTCCTCCTCCTCCTCCTCCTCCTCCTCCTCCTCCTCCGTCTGGTCCTCCCTGTCCTGAGCGTTCCGGCTCGAGCTGCTGAGTGCCTTGAACTCTGGCATTCGGGACGGCTCGCACCGTAGAGCCCTGCGCGCTCTGACACCGCACCCTCTCGTCTCGGAGCGGAGCGGAGCGGCCAAGCATCCGTCCGGCGGGACGGCTGCATACTGCGCGACAGCACGGAGAGACCGGACACGCGTGCATCAGACACTGCAGAGGACAAACAGTGAGGCGTCCTGCGGTGTGGCAGAGGCGCCACGGATTGAAGGAGTTCGAGGAGGAGGACGGAGGGAGTGAAGGGGCCCCAGGACACACAAATAAATACACACAAATAACAGGATTCCCCATATTTTCTCATATTTTCTGGGTTTTTGTCTTCCCCCCCACTTCCCATATTTTCGCATATTTTCCTGGGGATCGACGATTAATTGTGTCGGTGTGTTTTTTCCCCTCCGGAAGGAAGCAGTTCGAGGAGGAGGACGGAGGGAGGGAGGCCACCCGCAGGAAGCGCGTGAGTCGGCAAGCACCGCGCCGGACGCGCTCCTTTTCAGCCTGGGCATCCTTGGTCGGAGGACCAGTGGGCAGCAAGCTCGGTCAGCAGCGGGCCCAAATTGCCTGGCCACTCCAATCTTTTTCCGAGGCGTAGGCCCTGCGAAATGCTTAAGAATCATGGGTTAAGAAATTCATAGTCTCAGAACTTGAATACAAACCCAACATTTCTATCAAAATCTTAAGATTTACATTGAAATATTAAGAATAATCGAGACTCTGGCCGAAAACTCAAGTTTTCTTAAGCATCGCCTAAGGTGTAGGCCCCGGAAGGCTGGACCACTTCCCCAAGGCTGGTTTTCGTCCCCGGTCGTTTTCTGACGGCCCCGAGGCCCAGCGAGGGCCCACGGAGGCCGAGAACGGCCCAAGACCCGCCGCCCCAATCTTGTCGGAGCGCCGTCTGTGTGTGGGAATCAGGTCCTCGGATCGCATCGTCGTGTGCATCGAATCGGGCCGCCCCGGCACGGAGTCGGAGTTCATCATGCAGCTCCATGTGGGAGTGGCGGAGGTGGGGGGGGCGACCGGCCGCCACTTCTGCGAGCCAGACGGTGCTCAAGGCTTCACCAGACCGCTTTCGGGGCCCGAGCTCTGACCCAATGGGTCGCCGTTTCTCTCCATTTTGTTTCGATGCCTCTCAAAACTTCTCTCGCTCCACTTCAGTCTCTCAGGGCGGCGCGCACAACTTTCGCCCCCCTCGTGAGCGCCATCCCCATATCGAGCCGAGGGAGTTGAGTTACAGCTCAGGTCGGCGGGGCCAGGATCCAGACAGCGCCACGCGAACGTCAGGCGCCGCAATACGGACCGTCGGAGCCTCTCGGGATCGGATCGGATCGCGCGGGCCCGCACCGAGATCAGATCCGATCGGTCGGGTCAAACTGGGCTCTGACTTTCGGTGCGAGTCATTCCAGAAATGCATTCATGCCCCGTGCCATATTTGAAGTCCCTTCAGGCCTCGCTCCACCGCGGTACAGTGCATAGTTTCCGGGGGCTCTAGAGGCCGATACTCTGTGCACCGAACCACTCCTGGGTCGAGAACTGACGACGCCTCGTGCGAGGCTGACGCGGTGCGGTTGATACAGGTCGTCCGCGGAAACTACTGGGGGGGCGATCCCAGGGCTGAACCTAAACGGTGTTTTTCGTTTTCGTTGTGTTTTCGTTTTCCCTCGTTTTGTCTTCGATTCGCCTTTTACCGCAAAACGAAATCGAAACGAAAACGGCCCACGAAATCGCCAAAACACCGTCTAGGTCCACCTCTGGGCGATCCATGGGGGGGGGGGAGAAAAGGGGCCTGTGTCGGGCCCGAAAGGCCCCCCTTCTGGGCCCGAATTGGGGGCCCCTTTTTGGCAGCCCTCGCCAGGGCTGAACCTAAACGGTGTTTTTCGTGCTCGTTTTGTTTTCGTGTTCCCTCGTTTTGTCTTCAATTCGCCTTTACCGCAAAACGTAATCGAAACGAAAAGGGCCCACGAAATCGCCAAAGCACCATTTAGGTCCAGCCCTGGCCCTCGCTGCCCCGAACAAGGGGCCGCCCCCGAAAACGCGCCAGCAGTGGGCACGTGACGTGTACATACTGTCTCAGCTTGTATAGCAGCGGTGCCCTTGTTCCCCTCTCCTCCTCCTCCTCCTCCTCCTCCTCCTCCTCCTCCTCCTCCTCCTCCTCCTCCTCCTCCTCCTCCTCCTCCTCCCCTTTGCTCCTTCTTCCTCCCCCCTCTTTGTCTTATACTTCACGGTCGATTCCCTGAGCGCTCACAGTCGCTCTGTGACTGCTAGTCTGCCTGAAGAGCTGCCAATCGTGCGTTTTTCTGCCCACGCGTCGCTCTGGACGCTCGGCTCAGTGGTGGCGGTGGTGGCGCTGCCCCCGCCAGTTGTCGCGCCCCCACTACGCGCCCCCCAATGACTAGCAACAGTTGGACTTCTGGCCCGGGGACGCTCGGGCAAGAGGCCGGCTGCGCTCGAGCAGCTGATCGCCAAAGACCTCTGCGAGCGGCCCTATCGGCGACGGTGCGGAGAGGAATCGTCCAGACAGTCGTGTTGCTGTAGGCCTGCTCGGGCGTGGGCGAAGGAACCTCCCAGAACGTGTTTGTCATAGCCTTCTGTCTCGCCCTCTGCTTCTCTTCCTCGTTCTCCGCTGGGGTCTGCTGCTCCTGCCGTGAAAGCCACTGCTGCGGGAAGCAAGCTTCGCCGTGGCGTCAACCGTCCCGGGATCCCATCGATCCTCGCGTGCGCCATCGAACTCCGCAGTGGCACCTCCGAGCCTTGTTGGGGATGTTTCTGCAACCCGCGCTCCCCCGCTCATTCATCATCACCACCACTACCATCATCATACTCATCATCATCATCATCATCATCATCATCATCATCATCATCATCATCATCATCATCATCATCAGCATCAGCATCAGCATCAGCATCATCATCATCAGCATCATCAGACTCATCATCATCGTCATCATCGCCTTCAAACTCATCATCGTCATCCTACTCACCACCATCACCATCACCAGCACCATCACTATCACACTCACCATCACCGTCACCATCACTGCCACCATAATCGACATCATAATACTGATACGGTTAATGGTACTAAAAGCAACAACACATGATCATCATCAGCATCCGCATCATCATCGCCACCATCGTCATCACCATCACCAGCATCATCACTGCCATCAGCATCATCATCATCATCATCATCATCATCATCAACACCCTCACCAGTACCATCACCAACATCAGGATAACCACCAGCAGAAAAATCATCGAACTCATCAGCATTATCGTCATCATCGTTGTCGACACCATCATCATAACCACCAACACCATCACCACCACCATAATCAACATCAACATCATCACACGTAGCATCCCGCAGTTGCGGATAACAGGGAGGGGGCGACGATGACATCGGCAGTCTGCGAGGGCCTGGAGAAACTCACCGCGGGCGCCTAACTTTTATACATTGTGCAGTGAGTCCGCCGCGGGCGCCGACTTTTTTCGTTAAAGCAATGAGGGTGCGTCAGAGGGTGGGTCGGAAGGTGGGTCGCGGGTGGGTCGCGGGTGGGTGCCAGGTGGGTCGTGGGTGTGTCGCGGGCGGGTCGCGGGGTGGGTCATGGGTGGGTCGCGGGCGGGTCGCGGGCGGGCGGGTCGCGGGGTGTGCGTGGGTGGTCGCGTCGCGGGGTGGGTCGCGGGTGGGTCACGGGATTGTTTGCGGGGTGGGTCGCGTGTGCTCGCGGGCTAGGTCGCGGGGTGGGTCGCGGGGTGGGTCGCGGGGTGGGTCGCGGGTGGGTCGCGGGTGGGTCGCTGGATGGGTCGCGGGGTGGGTCGCGGGGGGGTCGCGGGGGGTCGCGGGGTGGGCCGCGGGTGGGTCGCGGGGCGGGTCGCGGGGGGGTCGCGGGGCGGGTCGCGGGTGGGACGACGCCAAGCACCAACAACAACAACAACAGCAGCAGCAGCAGCAGCAGCAGCAGCAGCAGCAGCCGCAACAACAACAACAATCAATATGATACTGTTCGCTCTTACTTGCCCATGCGTCATTCAAAACGAGTTCCCCACACCCTCGGTACCCGCCCTTTTTGTCTTCGCTCACATCCCCCCTTTGGGGGGATTATTTCTGTGCGGGGGGCCCTTCGTGGGCATAAATGTACCCGCCACTGGAATTGGTGTGGGACCTGCAAAGAGAGGAGGGGGAGAACGAGGGAGAGTGAGAGGAAGGGAGGGAGGGACGAAGGAAGAGGGAAAACGCCAGGAGAGAAGGAGCGAAGAGGAGGGAGGTTGATTAGAGGCATATATATATATAAGAGAGAGAGAGAGAGAGAGAGAGAGAGAGAGAGAGAGAAAGAGAGAGAGAAAAAAAAACAAAACAAACAAAATAAAGACAGCAAGGCAGATCAGAGAGGTAGAGAAAGCGAGGGAGAGGGAGGCGAGGGAGAACGAACGAGGGAGGGAGGAGGGAGGGAGGAGGAAGGAAAGGGGAGGGAGAAGGGAGGAGGGAGAGGAGGGAGAGGGGATAAGGCAGAGAGGCATAGGATGAGGGAAGAGAGGAGGGAGAGAGAAGGGAGGAGGAGGGAGGAGGGAGAGGGAGGAGGAGCAGGAAGGCAAGAGCGTGAACGTTCGAGGAAAAACACAAAAGCGCCGTTCCTGAAGGAAGTCTCGGGCGGGAGCCCACGACGGGCGGGCGATCCCCTGACGGGCGGGTCGGGCGGGTGGGAC